ATACATATACAGTTCTTATTACATTAATGAATCGATTAACCGGCTAAAAAAAGAGATTTCTTCATGTAAAAAGTGATGACATGTGACGTCTACTATAATATACGTAACAACCAAAAATTGTTGTATGTATGTATGTATGTATATAATTGTTGGACGTTTGAACGCTAGCGTGTAAACGTCCCTTATCAATCCTATCACGATTCTCTCTTCTTTCTCTCCCCTTCTGTCTGGCCGCGAGATGCAACAAAATGCGCGAATTGCCACGTGCCGTTTCACGTACCGTACTCTTCCCCTCTATTTCTTTCCTTCTCTCTTTTTCTCTTCCACTCTACGATAACACACCCTTCCTTCCGACCTCGCTCACGAGAAACTTTGCCCCAAAAAACTTTGCTCCGTTTCGCCTAGTCGAGAGCTTTCGTTACACGCGAATAAGCGCGCGCGCGCGCGCACGCGCGCGCGCGCCGACACACACAGATACACTCTTTTTCTCTTTCGCTCTTTCTCTCCCATTCTCTTATTCTTTCTCTCGCAAAAAAAAAAGCGAATCACCAACGTGACGACGGCGATGACGGAGAAGCGCCGTGCCGCGTCGGCCCAACGACGAGACGCGACCACAACGACGCGTACACGACGTGCGTATCCACCTCCCTGTTGCGAACAACTTGCCGAGCCGGCGCAGCGTTCAAAACTCGGCGAACTCCTTGGCGCACTTCTCCGTCAGTGAGATCCTCAGGGTCTCCTCCTCGTAATCGTCAAAGTTGCTGGTGTCGCCTGGTCCCTTGCAGCGCGGTATAAAAGGCGCCTCTATTCGCTTTTGGAAGACGGCTATCCAGTCGGTACTGGCGAACCACTTGTGACCCTTGATGTCGTTTACGCCCGCCTTGAGGTTGCCATACCTCTTGGTGAGGTCGACCTGCAGCAGATTGCGCAGTAGGTCCTTCAGGTCGGAGCCGAAGTGCGACGGAAAGCGCGGCTTGCCGCTCACGATCTTCTCGTAGATCTGAATCGGCTGGTCAGCGAAGAATGGCGGATAGCCAGCAGCCATCTCGTAGACCAGTACGCCCAATGCCCACCAGTCTACCGCCTTGTTGTAGCCCTTACTGAGGATGATCTCGGGCGCTAGATACTCGGGTGTGCCGCACAGAGTCCACGTTCGACCCTGCACTCTTTTAGCGAAACCAAAGTCGGTAACCTTCAGGTAACCCTGCGAGTCGATCAGCAGGTTCTCCGGCTTCAAATCCCGGTAGATCAGGTCGAGATAGTGCAGGTACTCAAACGCGAGCACGATCTGAGCCGCGTAAAAACGCGAGTGCGGCTCCGAGAAGCGGCCGACCTTGCGCAGGTGGCTGAACATCTCGCCGCCGGGCACGTACTCCAACACCATGTACAGGTAAGAGTTGTCCTTGAAGTGGAAGCGCAACGAAACGAGAAATGGAAAACTGATCGCCTGTAGTATCCTCTTCTCGTTGAGCGTGTGCTCCACCTGTTTCAGCTTGACGACTTTTTGCTTGTCGAGTATTTTCATGGCGTAGTACTCCTTGGTGGGTTTGTGTTGGACGATCATGACTCGACCAAACGAGCCGGTGCCCAGAGTTTTGATACGCTCGAAGTCATCCAGGGCGGCGGTGTTGGTCGGGTTCTTCTTCCACTTGTCCTCGAACTCCTTTTTCGCCTTGTCGAGGAACTCCTTGACGCTCTCGGCAGCGTCGACCTTCTTGTTGGCGGTCGCGGCATTGTTGCCCATTTTAGCTGCCGCACTGGTGCCCGAGTCTGCCAGGGCAGCTCCACGGGGCTTGTGATAATCCAGAGGACTGCTACGTCTTCGTCGGCGTACGTCCGCGTCCGCAGCCGCCGATGAGCCTGCCAGGGCTCCACCGAGCTCCGGTCTTCTCAGAATTTTGCCACCTTCTAACACGCCCTGCCGATGGCCGAGACGTCCCTTCGTCGCGTTCCGCGGATCACGCGAAACGCTTCGCACCGACAACGACGACGGGACGACGTTGACAACGACGGATCTTCGTTATCCCCGTTATCCCCGTTATTGTCCTCGTTCTCAAAGATCAAGAAAGAGAAGAGTCAAGCGGTGAATTCCTCGCGGGGAAACTCGCGCGCGAGGTACGCGCGACTACGACCGGTCGCGCGGCACCCGGGACACTGTCGTCGGCGAGGTAGACCGAGGTCGTAGATCACGGGGAAGAGAGACAGACACGCATACTCGCGCGAGTATTATCACACGGTAGAAAAACAGGCCACACACAACACACACACGCAGGGGGGGTAGAAGCGCGCGCGCGAGCGCGACGCGAGAGCGGCACCCTCCCGGCACAACTCCGGAGTTCGCTCGCTTTTTCCTCTCTCGCTGTCCCTCTCTCTCTCTCTCTCTCTCTCTCGTCTCCTACGGCTTCCTTCCCTGCTGTCGCCGAGTATATTCCTCCCGGCGAACGTCACCACACTCCGCGATCGGCGCTCGCCCGCGTCAAGCGAGAGCGAGTGAGAGCCAGAGAGAGGGGGGGAGGGAGGCGAGGGAGAGAATTCCTCCTCCTCCTCCGTCGTCGTCGTCGTCCTTCGACGAGAGGCTCCCGACTCCCGGAGATTTGGCGCGTCGAGAAAAAATGGGTCAGCAGCGATCCTCGTCCGCGGCTCGCGCCATCTTCTCTGTCAATTGTACCAGTCCGTCGTCGTTGTTCGGCGGCGGCGGCGACGGCGGTGGGATGCCGTCTCTCTCTCTCTCTTTCTCTCGCGGCAAATGCACGGTACGTCCTCGCGGTCGGCCTCCAAGTCCGTTTTATCCGGCCTCTCCCGTTTAGAGGACCGCGATCAAGTATCTTTCGCTCTCCTGCCCCCGTGTCCCGTGGCCGACACCGACAAAGTCACCCAGTACACCAAGTTTCAGCACTGACGGTCGCGCGCAGAGCCCGGCCCGGAGCTTGCTCGCACACGCGAGAGACGACACAGGAACGGAGGGACGGTAGAAGAAGCGAATTGCGCACCGCGCACGATTACGCGACGCGACAGCAGCAGCTTGAACGGCACTCGGATGATTGGCGGCGTCCTGATCAACCGAACCGTTTCTTCCTTCTCGTTCGCTCTCGCCAATTCTCGTCCCCGCGGCTGTGTCCCTCCTCGTGACGTTCGCGAAGCGAGCACGGAGAGGACAGAGAGAGGGAGACGTCTCACGTCGAGCGAGGAAGCTAACTCGCGACGCGTACCTCGTCTTCTTCGCGCTCCGGCACGTAATGCAAATCGAGCGCGATAACGGGGCGGCACACAGTCGATATCGGAGTTTGCTCTCTCGGTGGCGAAATCGCTTCGTGTTCCCGTCACGTCGCGTCGCGTCGCGTCCACGGAGGCGCGTAATACGGCGCTCCAAAATAACGTAATGTCGATTGTCGTCGGCGACCAACAGCGGCGACGACGGCGATGACGTCGGCGGAGACAGCGGCTGATGGGTACAACCGTGTCTAAAGATGGCGACGCGACTCCTCCACCGCTCGTACGTTCGGGAGGGTTTTTCGCACGAGTGCGAAAGTGACCAAGTGCCGCTCCAGGAGGCGAGAGAGCTACTGTGCGCTGTGGGTCAGCTGTTGCTTTCTTGCGTCGCCGAGAGATGTAGCGTCGTACGGACGCGCCGAGTCGGTGGGTGCTGCCGCCACGGATGACGCACGAAACTAGGGCGCGGCCGAGCCGAGCCGAGCCTCCTCGAGGCTCGCCGTCTCGGTTACGTTCGCGTAACGTCACGCGACACGCGCGTATGGAAGCGGAACACTGCTGACTTCTTCCAAGGAGCCATTTAAAAGCGAAACGATTGTATTCGACGCGAATGTTATTTCAAACTCGAAAATTTACGTCGTAACGTTTCGAATGGAACTTATTGAGCACTAAGACGATAATCGAAGGCAGTTTTAAAGAGATCGAGAAAATATACGGATACTTAAATAGAACTTGAAAAAGATGTATACATATATAATTATCATTAACGCTACTATTCGTCTTACTTAATATAGTATCTTAAGATAATAGACGGAACTTGGAAATTAGTATTGGTCATATTTGTTACCTAATCGCTGACAACTATCACAAAACTTTCGTTATCAGAGAAATAAAATCGAGAGACTCGCCTATCACAGTATGCTCGAGTTTGGAAACAGCTCTGATTTCATTGACTCGGTATTTTCGAGTTTCTCCTCTCTTTTCAGAAAAACAGGATCGTTCGGGGGCCCGAAGGCATCTCGAGCCGGCCCTGGTCGCGCAACGAGCTTCGAAAAGATGATTGTGTCACGTTCCTCGACAACGAGAGAACGAGCAGCTCTCTGAGTCAGCCGACCGAAAAACTTATGTCGCTTCGCCGTCAAGGTTGCTTTTGAAATTTGGAACCGCTGAGGTCACGCACGCGCGTGCGCCCGCAAACGCACGCCCGGCATGACCGCGCTTTTATCTCCATCGCGGATAAACGTCGTGTCGGATTCTCGCGCGCTCGCGACTTATCGCTTGGGAAATGCACGGACTCGAAAACGCAGACATATGCGTAACAGCGAGAATTATCGTCCGCAATCTAATGCCGCGCCCGATATCGTTACGCGTCGCGATAAAAATTCTCTTTCTCTCTCTCTCTCTCTCTTTTCTCTTTCTTTCGGAGATACCTAAGCCTTTCAGCGAAACCTTTCTCTGCAGTTGTGCTGTACTTCTCGATTATACTCCGCGCATTAATTATTTGCATTCTGTACTTAGGAACTGATACGTGAATTCGATTGGATGCACTGACGTTCATCGCTGAACGCCAAAAAAATATTATCGTGCGCAAAAGTTACTAAAATAGATGAACAACAAGCATGAAAATATCCAAGCGACGTTCATTATAAATTCTATGATTGAAGCTGAATGTTTTCTTGACAAATCTCTTTTATACAATGCTCTTATTTGATCTCTATATTTCCTCTTTGGATAATGTAATATTATCCATAATATAATATTTATTCATAATTCCATTTCGCGCTTTGCTCGCTTTTTCCAGTCTCTTTAATTTCTTAAGAGATATATTTTCTCCGCCGGCCAGTTTATGTTGAAATCCAGTTCTCGAGAGAGAAAACAATCCGCGCTCTATCATAATAGTATTTCTTATCTCAGGATTATCGAATTGGGAGAGGTCGAGCGAGTCACATCCACGAACAAATATACGAACAATATTAAAACGAGTGCTAGGGCACACAACTTGGCGTACAATAATTTTGCAAACGACGCATATTACTGCTCGAAAGCTTTCATCGCGCTAGTGTTCAGGACTAAATCAGACAAACTATTGTACGAGTGAAATCGACCGTTCTAATCCGATAGACACGTGAAATCGTTAGAAGAGTAGCTTTGGGGATGTTTACATAAGAGCATTGCTTTCGTTTATGTACGTTGTATCTTTTTTTTTTTAGGGGGCCACAAATTGTGTCGAAAATGTTTCGTCCAATCGTTGTAACTTTGGTGACACGTGAGGATACATATCAAGAGCGAATGCGCGCCGAATAAATCGGCCCGCTTTACGTGCAAATCCTATAAATGCCGCGTCGCCATCGCGACGCGGAACACCACGGTCGGAGGATAACAGACGGGACTTGTTGCTATCAGTCACGTCAACGGGAAAACCGGTTCGAAAGCTCGGAAAGACCCGGTGTTTGAATCCGAATAGACTCGCGAGGATGGCCGTCGTAGCGTCGAGAGTTTTTCAGCGATGGCGACGATTATGACGACGAGGGCGGCAATGGCGGCTGCGGCGTCGTCGTCGTCGTCGTCGTCGTCGTCGTTGTTGTTGTCGGCGTCGAGCTATTAATAATAATCGGATATCGCGGTATCGAACCGTGGTAGGTAGGTGTACGGAAGGTTGAACACCCGCTGACCTGTGATAATCCTTTGCCGATTAGTTCCCAACTGTAGACAGAGGCGGCGCGGTTTTAGAACGGTCGACTGACGGAAAGCGCCGGACAGGCGGGAGAGAGAAGAGAGAGAGAGAGAGAGAGAGAGAGAGAGAGAGAGAGAGAGTGAGAGAGAGGGGGGGGGCCAGAGGGATGAGGATCAGGACGAGCGAGAGGAGGACGGAACGCTCGCGAACCGGTTGCTCGCGAGTCAAAAAGGTACGACCGGGTCAGGCCAGCTCGAACATACGCGGCATTTTCGTGTGTAGCCGCATTGTGAACGCCACGATGATAAAGCCTGGATAAAGAGAAGAGGGGAGGTAGCCGAGCGTAAAAGTTTTATGGTTACACTGAGAAATTTATACCGGCAAACGCGACGACTGATTAAGAGCACTTCGAGTTCAGATGAGCTATGGTCGTATGACATATATGTATATCGATGCCTTGAAAACGAACGACCTACGGCGACTTGAGAGCAAGAGGGGAAAAAAATATGTCAAGATAAGACTGTAGTCCAACAATAAAAGACATCTAGTTCTCAGCCGCGTAAAAATTGTTAATGCTTTCTAATGTACAACAGTCTTGTAATTGTTGGTAACGGAGATACGGGCATTTATCGTAATTTGGAATCTTCTTTCTCTGAATTTTCGATTGTATGAGTGCATTGTTTATATAAGACACGTGTCTCGTATCACAGTGATGATCCACATAATAACACGTATCCCACTCTTGTTTGCAAGTCCCAATACTATCGAAGATAAACAAAGGGCCTATAGCAGTCCGCTTGTACTGTTTAGGGTTAAGCCTGATTTGATTCTACCCTACAGGATGCGCGCGTCCATGCTCTCTATTGATTCCATGACCCGAAGCGGCGAGCCAATTTGTCGAAGGGAAGCACACGCTACTTTCTTAGGTGGAACATTTCGCCGAGGAAAGATCAGATCCCAAGCTGTAAAACGACTTTCTTCGATTTTATTGAATATTTTGAATATAATTAGGAAATTGATCTCGAAATTGTGGAACATCATGAATATAATTAGGAAATTGATCTCGAAATTGTGGAACATCACGTTCTTATTCATTAAAAATACGCAAATGCTTCTCTCAATCAAGTTTTTTAGTTATTCCGAACAGATCTGTAGATGAATGGTACTTTCCATCATCTTTAATATTAGCTTAAGGGATAATTCATACATAAAGGATAATTCATTTTCTCTCGTTATCTCAATAGAGATAAAGAAACCCATAACGAAGTGAAATATAGTCTATTTGAGGCAGGAATACTTGCTTTTAAGATCTTAATATATCGCTTCATTATGTAGATTATTTAATGAGCTTCTTTACGCTTCACGCGCGCTTTCACGCGGACTTTACACAGACCGTCGCGAAAACGCAATACTCTGCGCGTATCCTTGGAATATATATTCGATATTTATTCGGGACGCTATTAATAAGCGTATTCGTATGTAGGCCCCACTGGAAATACACACGTCCACCGCCGCCAGTGTATTTCCATTTCTAATTCGGATCTCTCCCCTTCCTCCGCCCTCTTTCACTCTTCTTCTATGTGTCGCGGGAGTAAGTAAAAGCTAGTTAGCGCGTCTCAAGAATCTAGACCCGAAAGTGCACCTTAATAAGAGCGACACCGATGTGAGATGGGAATTCAGTCCAGCGAAATGAAAATTTAGATGCGCGCCGCTATCTTTAGCGATCTCGACGCAGGGTGGCAAAAGTGTTGCCACCGGCGAATATAGGTTACTGTCGTCGGAATAGATCGCGGTCAGGGCGGTCGTCACGTTTGCCGACATGATGGAAACGAGCTCGGCCCTTATCGAGCACCTACTTTCGAGCGAGCGCCGACCTATCATGAAGCGATTGCATCGACGGCCAGATAATACTCATTACGATTGCAAATATCTGCTAATTTATCACGACCGACAATTACGTAAGGATCCTGAAAGAAAGGAGGCAACCCGCGCTACCATGAATTTCAGCATCGACGGAAACGCGTGGGAGACGGTCGGAGAAGGAGAGAACAAAAGGAAAAGAGGGAAAGGACAGAGAGAGAAAGAGAAAGGGGGGAGGGAGGGGGAAGGAACGCGCGCGAAGGAGAACGAGAGTGAGAAGGAGAATATTCCCTTCTCGCTATAGGCGCACGCGTATATGCCGCACGTTGCTTTCCTCTGTGAAAGTTCGGTCGAAAATTCTGTACGGATCTGAACGTAGTGATACACCCGGACCAGAATCGGTTTCGTCGAAAGATGCTCGGAAGGAGGCATCTGGCCGCCTCGTCTCACCTGCGCACGGTGCATGGCAGCTGCCGCTCGCTCCGGTTATCTTTGTGCTTACGTGGACTGCCGGCACGTGTGCCAGAACAAAAATATATTTACGGAACGGGCAGAACGGCACGCTGCTGCGAGCGTGGCACGGCCAAAAACTTGCGCCCGCGATTAATAATAAATTATTTGCGTACGCCTTAGAACGCCTTCGAGGGACGCTTGTTCAAACAGTACATCATTTTCAGGATATACATCAGTCTTTAAATGTTTTTTATAAGAATTAAAATAAAATTGAAAAAAATTTACTACCTGAATTCTGTATTTGACATAAAAATTCATAAAGTTAATTAGCGAACTTTTGCTTTGCGAAGCAAAGCGATTATTATAAAATGTCAAATTCCTAAGAAAATGGTTATATATTTTCTTTCCTTTCTCGTCTCAATGATACAAGATATCTGAAGAAAGCGGAAGCCTAGGGACAACGTAAACGGAACCTGTTTCCTAAAAAGAGATCGTGCAGTCCGCTCGAGGGGACCGATTTCTCTTCGACGAGCGGCAAATGTTATCGCATCCTCGTGTGTTGCCACGAGGGGGAAAGCTTGCGTTTTATCATGAGGCCCGACGAGCAACCTGTAACATGGACGCGCAAAGGCAACGGGCTGTGATGCGCCGCTCGTCGCGCACCTTTCCCGTACACCGGAAGCGCTGCCATACCGCGAAACTTCTAGAACTTTCCCAAGCGCGTCGTGAACGGACGTACGCGATCGTCGGAGACGCGTGACCCTCGCCATTGAAGCGAGGGCGAGTCCCGACCTAATCGATATCGGCGAATCAGTTCTCGATGTCGCATCAAGTCAGATGTTTTCGCGCGAGGCGAAAGACGATCCGTTCGCGTAAAATAAAATCGACCGACGCGCGGCCGGAAGCGCGCGCGTATTTTTCGACGCAAGGTGGGATCTAATTGGACGGCGTGGAGTAGGAAAAGAAGACCGGTTCGGGGAGGGGGAATCGTCGAGCATCGAGATGATGTCGCTACGATCGCAGGCGCCCGAGCCTCGGATGCCGCGAATAATCGAATGGCTGCGTTGCGCGACGTCGTATTCCCCTTATTTTCTCGCTTTCGATCGCTTTCGTTGGCGTAGATAGTAGTCGGACGCGTTTCCAACGTGTTGCTTTCGAACGCGATCTCTCCTTGGTGTCTGCCTACGGAATAACGTTGGTTCTATTCACTGTCATCGATTATAATCGTACTTGAAATCCAGAGAAACAACGTCCTCGGGACAATCTCCCTATTGACAGATACCCAAAATACCTTCGTAAAATTTAACGAGGTCAGGCATTGCCTAACGCGAGCGATACTTTCGCAGATGATATCGCACGCGAGAATCACATGATGACAAAAACCGAGACACATTGAATAAGACATGAGGAACGAGGAATAGATATAACGGTTCCGTAATAAATGTATCGATGTATAAGAATTAGAAATTGAAACAACGCTGATAAAATTTGCGGATTTTACGGATAATGTAATTTTACGAAATAACGCATCTTACATCAGCATACTTTCCATTCTTATCTATAGAAAAAAATCGCCTTCCTACTTATTAAAAATTAGTTTAAAATTATATTTAGCAAGGTATAATAAATTAACGTTAAATTATTTATTCGATTTCTTTTTAGTCGCACTGTGTTCAATCATCACGCGTTCAATAATTTAGAGAAGAATGCTAATCGTGACGTCACGACGTTGTGCGTAGAAATAAAATATTAATTTCTTCTTTGTTTTTAATACCTTACTTTTACATATTTCATTTGTTTACATTATTCACTCGTTTCTAACGAAGCTTCCTTTCCTCGTATAGCGCGAGCGCGGCGCGCGTAGCGTGCATGTGTGCGTTGTGTACTCGACGCGACTGGCGCGCCATCTGTAAATGAGCGGGAAAGAAAAGCGTTTGAAGGCCGCCGGCCCGCCGGCCGGGCCGTAGTTGCTCGGGTCTCGGGCGAATCAGTGCGCGTTTCCCTCTGCCATTTGCGCGTCGGTACGCGGCAGCGGTGTTACCGGAATCTCCGACGTGTGCTTACCGGTGCGTAGAAGACGCGTAACCGCCGTGTCGGTTGAAGTGTGCTTTCACTGAGTTCGTGTGCAGGAACGTGCGTGGATTTCTCTCACGATCGAATTGATCGGTATGGCGGACACAGAGGTCAAGTGAGTATATATATATATATATATATGTGTGTGTGTGTGTGTGTGTGTGTGTGTGTGTGTGTGTATGTATATAGTATATA